TAGGTGTGCCCCGCGCGCTCATATGACCTATGCAGTTGCGAGCGCAGTAAAACACTTTACAAAAGTAAAAAGCAAAGCAAATTATTTTGTCTCAGTTCAGTTCCCTGTCCACACTTACTCATGTCGGCCTATGCTGCATCCTTTAATAAGGAGGCATTTTACACAGCTTTTCATTTCATCACCCAGGTAGCCTATGCGCATACATTATACATGTGTTATATGTATACATATAAGGAGCTTAAAACAAACCTGTAACCTCCTTGATACATATATATACAAATACATGTACATGTATTATGTATATATGTAGAATCCATGCAAACAAAAATGTAATCACCCGCACTATCTATGTTCATTTTATTCTGTTTCAATCAGGTCTGAGTGTCCCTCATTATAATAATATTGAGTTTTAATACTTGCTTAATATCATTGTTTGCCATCAGGAGATGCCTATCCGCCTTTACACTTAAATTGCAGTATGCGATTATGAAACTGCCTTTCTGTTGACAACAGTAATTTAATATCGAGAAATAGTTGGATAATGGTCTAACATTCTGTCTTTAAAATTTCTTCATATTCCATGCTTTTTTCTTCTGCGTTTGTCTGGCCTAGAAGTGGAAGAAAAAAACCAATAAAACAAAAACAAAACAAAACAATTTCATGCACGTATCAAAAAAAATAAATTTTAAAAGAGATTTTTAGCGCTTAGTTCTCAGTTTCGAGCGACGGAGATTTCTGAAGGAAACCGGAAGCCGGAAGCTGCAATAATGGATATTTTTGTTTGTGATGATTAGTAACTTACTCGTCGTCTTGCGAAACCTTTGAAGATCACGAGATTTGTGTTTTTTTGTGAGTGAAGGTTTGTAGATATACATGGGGTGTTTGAAATTAAATCTTGGGTGTCGGTTGAAGACATTCTTGTTCTTTTAATGGGCAAACGTAACATTTTAAAAAAATACAAAATTGCAAAGTCAAAGTAAAGACAAAGTCTAAAGTCTAGATTAGATTCTACTTCTATATCTAGATATAGATCTATAATCTAGATCTAGATCTAGAATCTAGATCTAGATTGGCCACCTCTATTCTCACCCGGGATGAGAATAGTGCAGGCGAGTCTTTTGGCTATTCTCACCCGGTGCGCGTTCACCGTTATAGCCTAGATCTAGGCCAACAAATTTTGCGTTCACCCTAAACCACAGAATTCTACACTGTGATAACAGAA